CCCCAAAACCCCAAAACCCCAAAACCCCAAAACCCCTGCTCACTCTTTTTGAATTGAAAAATAGTCTAAACTCTATATTTCAACTAAAATTATCTAATCTTCACCTAAAAATTCTGTTTTAAGAATTTCTATGATTTTTGGATACTAAGAGTCTAAAAATCTAATCATATTCCCCAATATGGGTCTTAAGTCTGTTCCCATTAAAAGTAGAAATCAAGTAAGAAGGACCAAATGTGACTGAATATTTATCGATATTAATCTGAAGAATCACTTGAGGTTATTCTCTCAACTACTTTGTCTTGATGTCTTCCAATCTTAGCTCCAAAGTTGAGAAATGTTTGGTATTTTGCTCTAAACTTCTCGTAAGAGCGTAGGTTGAATATCCTTGGTACGATATCAATGAGGGACTCTTGCTGCACATACATTTGATTGCAAACCCCACATTTCTTAGCAGCACTGGTGTTTTTCTCATTTCTTGTGTATATTTTCTTTCAAGTGTCTCACCAAAGGATCTATACTAGAGAGAAGGAATCTTACTACTAAGGCTGCTCTTTTATACCAGTTAAGAATATTGATCATCTCATAGTAAAGAATAAAATTGAACTCACAATTATATCTCTTCTTCAGAATTTTCAACTCTCTACATATAATCATTTTTCAGTCCTGTCCAAGACACTGAGGCTCATCAATCTTCGCCTTAGTAGTCGCCTCAAGATACTCCGTTAATCACCCCAAACAATACACATGCTTACAAAAATTAACAACTTTAATCCTCGCCCTGAGTGAAATACTACAATATCATCAAATCTCACTAAAACCCCCCTTCTTCCCCTCCACATCTCCCTTCCTCCTCTTCCCATCCCTCTTACTCCTCTCTTCCTTAACCTCCCCTCCATCCTCACCTATATTTTTCCTTTCTTCACTAAAATCCTTCTCTTCTGTGTCTCACCTATTTCTAAAAAAATTTCTACTGAAAATTTGAGAAGAAATTTTTGAAAATTTAGGAAACTTACGTAGGGACAGAGGCTTTTTGGGCGGGATTGGGGTCTGAGAGGGGGAGATGGGGGGTTCTTGGGAGGGGATGGGTGAGTGGAGGGTGGGAAAAGAGGGGTTGGAGGGGTTTGGAGAGGGATTTTTTGTGCCGTTTTTTGAGAACGGAGTCTTGGAGGTCAGTGAGGGCCTGGAAGAAGGTGTCTAGTGAGGGGGGAGTGGGTGGGGAGTAGTGGGATTCGAAAATTTTAGGTGGGTTAGGGGATTTTTGGGTGAAAATCATCTATGGGATGGTAATGAAATGTTTACTCCCATCCTAAATATGAATGCTGGGTCTTTGTTGTTCATATACTTGATCTAAATATGTATCGCTTGTTTGCACTTACCACTTTCTTGCGTTCCAATTCTGTCAACTTCTCGAATGAGCTTCCAGCCAGCCACTCGATACCATCGGGTTCCAAAATATGTACTTGAGTGTAAGCTTTTGGTAACATTTCTATATTTAATCAATATTTGAGAATTTTTTAGGGGTTTTGGGGTTTTGGGGTTTTGGGGATTTGGGG